GCAGCCGCTGCCCGCGGCGCCTCGGCCCCTGTCGCCCCCCGGTCCCCTCGTTCCCCCGTGGCGCGCGCAGGCCGACTGTCCCAGTGGCAGAAATGAACTGGTCCCAGACAGGGGCGCCGGGTGCCTTCACGCCAGATCGGCGTGCTCCCCCTCGAGCTCCATCACAACAACAGTGCTCAGACAAAAGCTACAAGCTTAATTAAACGGAGTCAAACAGGTTTAAGCAGTTAAATAGAAACAACTTTTTAAAGTGCTTAAAATCTGTTTGCTCTTTTTTCCTTTGTGTTTTAATCCTTTCAGATATGCTATTGTATACAGATAAAAATACTTCCTGATTAGGAATTTGCTAGCTAAAGTATTGTAATATTTTTGTGAAGTTTACTCTTCAGAACATAAAATCATATTTCTTTTTCTGTTAAAGTCTGCATCTAACAGAAGACCCTTGCAGACAAACTCAATAGGCTCCATGAAATAAGGTGGCCTATTTACTAGCAGCCCCCATGGGTCCTGCATGCCAGCGGTTTCCCTTTAATAGATTTAATTCATTATGTACCCAAAAAAGGGCCAGTTGGTCCACCTTGCACGGCTCGTGCAGCGCACAGCCCCATGACTGCAGCCGTGCAGAGGTGCGCACCGAGCCAGTGAGGTGAACAGCGTGGATCTCTGATTAGACAGAGAGATACAGACAGGGAAACCCCTGGTTCTGGGGCACTCAGCCTCCTCTGGATGCAGATTATTGACATTTTCCTTCCTCTGCCCGTTTTGAGTCCCTGCGTTGCTGTGGAGCCGGGGGCTGCCATTTTGCTGCACTGCTCAGCTCAGACAAAATGGAGGCTTTGGGGGATCAGTAACCACAACAGCCCATGCCTTCTGAAATCGAAGGTAATCGCCCTTTATAAAAAAGGTGATAATTTTGAGGATTAAAAAAAAATAAATCAGCATACCCCATCCTAAAAGGTGGATTCTCCTTTGTTCCCTGTGAACACGTGGGTACAGTTGTATTAATTTCGTTGCCAAAATGTAAATATTAATGCACCTTGCACTTTGATGTATTGCCGTAAAAGACACTGAATTTCAAATCACCAAGCCCACTGTGTGATACGGGGACGTAACTCAGCTATTCGTCTTTATTTGAAGCAGCCCTCTTCCTAAAACCTCACTTAGGGAGAATCCCAGTTGCCATTAGAAAAGCAAAATACAATTAATCTAAATCATTTTAACTTTATCTTAGAAAATTAATGATAGATGAAAGAGGGGGTTTATAAGGTGTAAGAAGCAGCAGTCTGGAATACGGTGTGTATTCTAGCGCCTGTGGTCACAGCAGTAATTTAGCAGATTGTATCGCTGCCCATCTCTGCCAGAGGATGTTTCACACCATTTAAAATGCAGAGGACTCCTTCAGACGGGTTGTTCTGGAAAAACTCAACGTCCAATGCAAAGCCTCGCTGTTCCCTCCCCTCCTGATCACTTGCATATGTGTGTGTGTGTGTGTGTGTGCGCGCGCGCGCGGGTGTGCGGTTGTGTGTGCACATGTGTATGTGCGGGGGGGTGTGTGTGTGGTGTCGTCTTCTCCTCAGCCGCAGCACTCGGTTTTCGTGCTCATTGCTGCGTTCATTTATCAGCCTCCGCAGAGGCAAACAATACCAAAAATGGAAAATCATGAAATCTCTTCAGAATAGAGTTTGAGTGCTGAAACCAGAGAGCCTGTATGAAACAAAGCCTGAATTAGCCCTTCCTCTAAAAGATGAATTAAAATAAATTTGGTTCTGAACAAGTTCTCCAAACTCTGAGAGCTCCTTGTTTCTCCTTTTGAAGAGGAACAAAACAGTGAGATAAGGACAAATCTTTGTGTTTTTTTCTAGCAAAGGTGATTTGAGAGTCTAGAGACCAAAGGAATTGAGATTTGAATAAATTGCATGCCTGTGATGTCTCTGAGTCTGAGGATGCAGGTCTCGCAGTGCGCAAGAGCATGAGCCAAGCCGATCTGTAGTTAAATTGCATAATTTGCTGTATTTAAATTCACGCGGGGCATGGTCTGACACTCGCTCTGACCTCGCTGCCTCTCTCGCAGGCTCTTCGCTGCCAAGTGCAGCGGCTGCATGGAGAAGATCGCCCCAACCGAGTTCGTGATGCGGGCGCTGGAGTGTGTTTACCACCTGAGCTGCTTCTGCTGCTGTGTCTGCGAGCGGCAGCTGAGGAAGGGCGACGAGTTCGTGCTGAAGGAGGGGCAGCTGCTCTGCAAGAGTGACTATGAGAAGGAGAAGGACCTGCTGAGCTCTGTCAGCCCGGACGACTCCGACTCTGGTGAGCCCTTCCCACACATGCTTCTGCTGGGAAAGCCGCCAGGGCTGGTGGAGCTTTCTTACAGAAAACAGATCCATTTACACATCCACCTCACCCCCTTTTGCACATGCCACCCATGCAAATCAACAGGCAGAGCTAAAAAAATCCCTTCTTGCAGTTGGTTCTCCCTAACTTGACTCGCTGCCTTAGCTTGCTGCTTGGTAAAGGACAGAAATGTCTTGTGTTCATCAAGGGATTTTTCTGGAAGATCACAAAATGTGAACCAGGCTGGTGTCAGCCCAGGGCACGGGGATGCTGCAGCCCAAAGCCCAGGGATGTCGCAGTGCCTTTTGGGCTCAGTGGTGGTTCAGGAGGGCTGGGATGCCTCCCCCTGTGCCCTGTGTTTCCAGGAGACCCAAAAGCTCCTGCTCGGGGTGCCCTGGCTGTCCCGAGAGCACAAACAGCGAGGGCGGGATCCTGCCAGCCAGCAGAACCGCACTCTTGTTTCCCAGAAAAACATCTAAGAAAATCAACAGTTACCACTCCATTAGGCGTACAAATGACATGAATGTTTGCCTCTGGTTGATGGGAAAGTGCATTATTCCAGTTTAGCTAGGAGCAGTAATTACGCTTAATCTCTAATCTGAGAGCCGTATTCTCCACACTGCTGAAATTTATACTTTCCCATCAGGAATGCAGCAGGACGAAGTCGCTGCTGGCTCAGCAGGACATGTGGGACCAGGGTCTGTGGCGCGTGGGTGTTGTTTACCGCTGTGCAGGACCTGTGAGACCTGGAGGGCTCTGCTCCACAGACCCCACACTGCAGGGTCTGGGCTTTGAAGCTGCCCGGGTGCGAGTGCCCTGCACTCCCCTCAGCGAATCCTCCCATCCCCAGCTCCTGCATCCCTCTATGTCCACACAAACATCCAAAAAGGGGGTGTCCCCGCGCCCATCCCCACCTTCCTCGGCACTGGGTGCTGGTATTGGCTCTGGGCACGGTGTGCTCTCCTGCAGGGCCAGATTTCGGGTGCTGCATAGAGCAGCCTTGGTTTCAGTGCATTTCACCTTGGCGCAGGGGCAGTCTCTCACTCCTGGAGATGCTTTTTCCCCTCATTATTCTCTGTTAGCCAAACCCAGACCTGAAAAACAAGATGGCAAATTAAATGGGATGTTTTGTCTCCCGTTGTCTGACGCACTGAAAGCGCAGCTCTCCCGGATGGCTGTGAGAGCAAACGGCTTCACACGGCCCTTGCTGAAACCGCGTCCGTCTCCAATCAAATATTTATCCACCGGACACAAAAGTAACTCTCCAATGAGCAATATTAATCCTCACAAACCTTTCCTTAGAAATGGCATGCTGGAAAGTTAATAATGTCGTGGTTATTAAAATGACTGAACTTCTCTAGAATCATTAGGCAAAAGATGCTTATTAAAGTAAAAGGTGATTAGATTGCTAGGTGCATAATAATCAGACTCTAAAATGAATTAAAGTCTAATTTGTTAATTCCCCAAACATAATCTTTGAGAATATAAAAACTGCAGTGTGTTTCTTCATGCTGAAGTCCCTATAATAGTACATTAATATTTTCTGGAAGTAAAATCAGTATTCTGGCAAAATAAAATATGCTGAGTTGAAAAGTTGTTTTTATAACAACATTTGTACTTGCTCTTCAACCTTTGCCACTGCAGTTGAGATTTCTCAGTACAATATACTAACACATGTAATAGCACCAGATTGCACGAATACTCAGAATATAACTGTAGAAAACACAAATCATCTATTTGGTCTACACAAGCACATGTTGCTCTTTACCAAGAAAGAGAAATTTGTGCCTCCCCACATGGAAATACCCAGAGAAAGAACACTGATGTTTTCTGTGGGATGCAGAAATGACATGGCAAAGGTTAGATTTAATATTATCTCTAGAGCTTCAAAGTATTCAGAGCAATACCTGGAATCTGCGCTATATGCAGCTGAACAGACCTTGAGCTGGTTTTGTGACGTTCGATTTAGGCAGTGCACCCAAATGTGTCTTCCCACCCGTGGTTGCTGTAGGTACCCAGATGGGGTGGTTGTGAACCAGCTGATGGGTTCGGCAGCTGAGGAGCAGTCCTCAAGCTCCCCCTGATCTCAGGAACAAGGACAATTTTATATACTGCTCATTTTTCACCAGTTAAAAGTGACGATGAAGACGGAGATGTGAAGCCCACCAAAGGACAGGTAACCCAAGGAAAAGGGAGCGATGATGGAAAGGACCCACGGAGACCCAAGCGGCCCAGGACAATCCTTACCACGCAGCAGCGGCGGGCATTCAAGGCGTCCTTTGAGGTGTCCTCCAAGCCCTGCAGGAAGGTGGGTGCTGCGCTGGGGAGCACCCTGGGGGTGGCAGGGTCAGGCCACAGCTCCGGGGAGCTCCCCAAAGCCCTCATTTCTGCACAAAGAGATATTCTCCTGCTGGCACACAAAGTGTCTTTTGGGACGGTGCAACGTGCCTCTTTGCCATTTTAAAGCATGAAATTGTATCTCAGCAATATAAAAATGCTCATAGCCAGATTTGTATCTTTTTGCACAGAGCTGATTTATGGGTAAAATAAAAATCATGAAATGACTCTGTGTCATCTTACACGGCTCAGACTCTGTTCAGTACTTATGAATCTGGTAGCGACATGAAGGGCAGAACTTGAACAAACTATGCAAAAATCTGAGAGATTTTTAAAAGAAATTCTGTGCATGCAGCTTTTATTGTAAGTACAGGCACATTCCTCCTAACATACCTGGGAGTTTTGGGTTTTTTTTAAATATTAAAGATTCAGTCACGAAACATTTCCTCCTGCAGGTCAGAGAAACACTAGCAGCTGAAACAGGACTCAGTGTGCGAGTTGTCCAAGTCTGGTTTCAAAACCAAAGAGCAAAGGTAGGTTGTTTGTCAAGTTCTCAGACATTAATTTTGTGTGCTCAAAGCAACATGAGGTTGGGAGTAAATTTTGCATGCAAATATGAACTGGAAGCTGAAATGTTAAGCTTAGAAATGAAACTGTACCCACAGTGGTGCGTGCATAAATATACATGGTCTGTATTCATTGATTCGATGTTTGCAGAGAGTTTTTTTAAGGAAACAGGATTGTTGCATTCAGAGTCCTGAGATTGTTCTGTTTTTCTCTTTTATTCAGATGAAAAAGCTAGCACGAAGGCATCAGCAGCAGCAAGAGCAACAAAACTCACAGCGACTGGGGCAAGGTAGGGATTTGTGATGAAGGCAAAGGGGAAAAGCATCTGCAGGGGTACCTGGGTGCTGTTCCCACAGTGTCTGCAGTGCAGCCATGCAGGGCACACACAGATCCATGGATAATGTGTGTAACTGGGGGAAACTGGAGTCCCCTCCTCTTCCCATGGGCCCGGCCCTGGGGTGCTCCCACAGGGGCTGTCACCTCCGCTCTAGCATGGATGTGGAAAGGAGTTGCAGCAGAGGTCTCGCTGCAGGGTTCCTCTAGTGCCATTTTGCCTGGAGAAGGAACCGTCCTCGGCTGTCACCGCAGGCAGCCTGCAAGTGCATCAGTGTCACTCCGGGGTGCAGGGACCCCCATACCCCCAGCAGCTGGGCCCTGGGGCGGGAGCTGCAGAGGCGCCAGGGCTGGCCCTGATGCTCCATGGGTGCTCCTGAGCTTCTCTAGCTCCCAAGGCCTCGCAGCCTCCTCTTTACGCAGAGCCAGAAAAACTGGTACCAGCCAAGGCTGGAGGATAACAGGGCTGTGTCACCACAGGACAGACTTGGGAAGATGCAGTCCAGCGCCCAGGAGCTCCAGAAATTACAGTCAGAAATTACAGGTCTTTCTACTCCCTGCTCAGGGCGGTGCTCTCAGACTGTGCTGTGCTTGCCTTGCAGAAGTGATGTCCAACCGCATGGAGGGGATGATGACGACGTACACGCCGCTCGCACCGCCGCAGCAGCAGATCGTAGCGATGGAGCAGGGCAGTTACGGCACAGACCCCTTCCAGCAGGGTCTGACCCCTCCACAAATGCCAGGCGACCACATGAACCCGTATGGTAAGGCATGCGTCATTCTGCCGCATCAGAAATAGCTGGGTTCGTGCGCTGGGTCACGCCGCGGAGGCAGTAGAGTTACTTGCTCTTACAGTATTTTTTCTGGGATTTGTACCAGTCGGTTCTGTGTATTTTCATGTAGACGTAAGGGGGTAGGAGAGAGCTCATCCCAAGCTCTGGACACTCTGCAGAGCTATTTCACAGTGTAACTCTGATAAATGATAAACCCAGCAACATCACCTCTACAGCTCCACTTTTTTAAACCGCTATCCAAGACAATGAAAAATAAACAGTACCAAATTCTAGCTCCCTCACAAGTTTTTCCTTTTTCTTAGAAGTTTTGGGAAAAAAGTGCCTGGAAAAGTGGTCTAATAAAGAGAAGTAAGCTGTTCATTCCAAAATTAATAAGCACCCCTCTAAGATCCCTCAGATTGAATGCACGGATATGTTAAAGGACAGAGGTGTGTCACCATGGGGCATTTCTCCTGCGTAATTTTATTCTCTGCCCAAAATCAAGATGATGGTTTGCTTTCCCGATTCCCTGACCACACACCATTGAGTGGATAGGTACACCAAACACATCACAAGCAGGATTGGGTCCTAGTAAGTTTGTGCCCCTTGCCTGGGGCTCCTAAGGGGAACTGTAATGAGGATTTGCTTCTTCAATCCACCTGGGAATGCCAGGTCAGCACCAGGTTGGTGAACACAAGCATTAAATGCCTAGCAGTTGATTCTGAACAGTGGCAGCGTGGCATTTAAATAGCATTTCAGAGGATTTCTCAGACTCTGGGCCTTGCGGTAGCCCCCAAGAGCCTGTTCACTCCGGCCCATTTCAGCTGACCGGGAGCACTTCACTGCACAGGGCCACATGCAAGTCGCCTCCATGGGCACAGTGTGCACCGGCCAACATGAAACCTGCTTTGGTCTGTGGTACTGCCTTGGGTCTGTGGTACTGCCTTGGGTCTGTGGTACTGCTTTTTGGGTCTGCGGTGCTGCCTCTCCCCCTGCGACAAGTCCACACCAGGCAATCTGGTAAATCCCATAAGGAGATGAGGACATCTGCAGTGCCAATGAGCATCAGATGGCTTGTGATTTTGTTGCTAACGATTTCCTTGGCTTTCTAAGCAAAGCTCCATGGGAGGCAGGTCCTGTGCTCCCAAACCAGGGCAGGGGATGGGAGCACAAAGCTGTTTAAACGAGCATGTGAGGAAAGGAGCCAGACCAAGGTCTTGTTAGTGCTGCCAGGACCTGAGCTACAGTTCTGTGTGGTGTCTGGAGAGCTGCAGTGAGCTGAAATCCGAGTTGCTAAGGGAAATAAAAGGTGCTGTTCCAAACCAGCCCAAAAAGAGTGGAGTTTCTGAAGTGAAAGCATGTTTGCATCTGTCACCCACTTGAGGCCAGGGGAGCTGGGTCTCCTCCTGGGTCCTGTCTCATTCGTAGATCTTTTACTCGTGTAAATGCACACCTTTACTGTTATGGCTTGCAGGCTGCTTCTCCCTTTCACGGGCACTCAGAGCCAGGTCCCACCATCCTCGGTGTCCCTGTGAATGCTGGATCTCAGCTCATGGAGAGCCAGGGACTGCTTCCTCCCCGGTACTGTTCGCTCCTGTCACCAGCCAGGCCTCACCCTGCGCTGCTGCCTGAAGTACCAGTTAAACCCTGGCAGGTTTGGGTGGCACAGGTGCCAGCTGCACTCTGCACGTTGTATGCCTGCCTTCCTCTTTGCAGGCCAGACCTCCCGACCAGAATTACATTAACGCATAAAAACAAACCCAGGAGCTCCCCTGCGCTGCAGGTTGTGAGCATCCCTGTGCTCGGAACCCAGCTTAACGCATGCGTTTCATTTGCAGGAAACGACTCCATTTTTCATGATATCGACAGTGATACCTCTTTAACTAGCTTAAGCGACTGTTTTCTTGCCTCTTCCGAAGTTAACTCCATGCAGGCTAGAGTAGGAAACCCCATTGACAGGCTGTACTCTATGCAGAGCTCCTATTTCGCCTCATGAAAATAAAAGCAAGCAAGCGGCCAGCGCCTGTGTAGCCAGAGACGTTTTCCAGTGCAGACTCTACAGCCATATGTTGCCCAGCTCTTCCTTCGCAGTAACTCCTGCTGCCTCTGGACTGCAAAGAGCATTTTCAGGAAGACTGCATCTGTGTGCATATATGTGTATGTATGTGTATATATATTGATACCTACCTACATACATACACATATATGTGAGCAAAATGCATCCACCAGTCTCGTACCCCCGATCCCCAGCCTGCACAAGACCGCGAGACAAGCACAGAGGGAACGAAGACCCTGCTCGTCAGCAGCCTTTGGTTTGGTTCGAGCTCAGCGTTGTAAAGGAAATGGATTTTGCGGAAAGCTAGACCTTTTCCTCCTTTCTCTCTTCCTTTCTTTTGGATGTTTAAGGTTTTTTTTTAAAGCCACTGATACTGACATCAGTCGACCATATGACAAATAAATCAAAGAAACTGGAGATTCCTCCCTTTTCTTGCTGCATGATTCATACTATGTTGTGGATAAATTGCCATTTGAACTGTGAGAAGTTAATGTAAATGTGACGTTCAACATTTGTTTCCTTTCTACACTTTTTCTACATAACCTAGACCTGCTCATTAGTTTATAGCCCTCATACATATGATACTGAGGAAACTGGTTAACAGTTAATATTTGTGGAGAAAGCCAGTGATTTCATAATGAGAAAGATTTATGACCCTGGAGAAGACATGCATGTTAGGGACAGAGGCATTTAGGTTAGTATTGATCTTAAATAATTAAAACTAAAGGTGCTTACAAGACAGAGTTTTACTTTTTATTTTTTGTGAGAATAAAACATTTACATTTGTTTCTAAGTATTGCAGTGCCAAATTTCAAGTCTAGACCACGATTGGCAAACATGTGTTGTTCATTCTGTTCTGTTTATTTATGTTTTGCATGAGGCATAAATGTGCTATGCTCCATTGTCTATCTGGAATAATTAAGCACTCCTTTAGTTAATTATCTCGCCTCAGCAAGAATCTATGATGTACAGTTCGAGCCTGAACCATCACAAGTCCTGAAATGTGCACCAACTGCGGAAAACAGAGTACGGAAATGCTCGCAGTGGTTTAGGTATGCTGAGCTGGAGCCTAACCCCAGGCCTGCAGTTTTAGCACTGATGGGACTCCTGAATTTACAGCAAATTCTCCAAATGACCCATGAGTGCAAAGGTAAGAGGAAAAAGTCCACAGGTTGAAGGGAATGTCCCAGCTGAAGTCTGAATGTCTCAGATGCTGAAGTTTGAGCGTATATCGTGTAGGTTTTCATAGGGCATAAAATATCATAAATAATAATAGTATAGTTATAAATATTGCCTGGTGATAATTATAATGTGGAGAGGCAGACAAGTATGGTCATGGCTCTTAGTGGAGAAAACTTCATGGGGAAAATTTGCCAGGGTAATATCAATAATTATAGGGTGTGTTCAAAATAGAGCTCATGGGGAAAGATTGGCAGGATAGGCACTTTCTTAAATACACACCTTTAATGTATTGACCATAATAGCCAAAAACGAATCCAAAGCATTGGTTCATCCGGCTCCTGCAGGCTGAGGGCGGGTGCGGGGCCAGCGCTGCAGCGTCTCCGTGGGCTGGGCACCCCCTGCAGGGGGGTCCCTGGGACCCCACTGGGGAGGCAGAGCGGGGCCCTCCAGCCTCACCCCCAGGAGCCACAACCAAGCTCAGAGGGTCCCAGTGGGGAGCCCTGCGCACGCCTGTGCGCCTGCTGCTGGCAAAGGCCCTCGAGCATCCAGGGGCGAGCAGCCCAAGGGAAGGAGTAAGGTCATGTCCTCCCTGTGTGGAGATGTGGACCGAGCGCATTAGGGGTTTCCTGAGAAAGCAGAGTTTTCTCTCCAGGATACGTGTGTGCAATTTCAACTCTGCACACAGGGAGAGCACAGGGGGAGATGCCTCTTGGGTGTGCAGTGCAGGAGAAAGGCGCAGACCACGGCAAGGCCCCTTAGCTCCTGCACACGGCCCGAGGCGGGCGAGGGAGCGCTGTCTGCAAGGGTCCTGGGTGACGCTCCCATCCCCCTACACAGTGACAGCCCCAGCCGTGGCTCTGCTGTGTCCAGGAATGGCTTGGTCACACTCGTCTGCTTTGGCCAGTGACCACCCTGTTTCTGACAGTGATGTGGATTTTCAGGTGAAAGTTGTGAACTCTTGGATATGTGTTGAAATCGGAAGAATTTTCTTTTCTTACCCATCCCCTTCAGTTATTTTTCACCTTCCTTGTGTATCAAAATAAATAACGATTTCCTTTCTCTGCATGATAGCAAACATCTATAAAGAACTCAGGTGACCTTCACTGCTTGCAGGGCAGAAGGCAAGCAGGTTTCATATGGCACATTACAAACATGGCACCTCCGATCTCAGTGCATTCATCAGTTTATCCTCCCCACCCTTCTGCTATGCTCCTTCAGAGTCACAGAAAAGCATCTTCATCACCTCAAACATTGTGGCTTTGTAGGCTACACACACACAACCTTGCTTCATCCCGCATTGCTGGCAGGATCAAAATGGCATTTTTAGTGTTTACAGGGACTTCTGTGAGAACTATAATGTGACCTTAAGTTTGGAGAACTGCCTTGTCCCAACTCTACCTCTGCTTCTGGGCTGGATGTTGAAAAACCAATCCATTTCTGAGGAAAGAATCAGATACCCCATTTTACAGGTGAAGTAGCCGTAATTTTTCCTGGTTTCCTGGATGCCTGTTTGCCACCTTTTTTCTTCCTTTCTTCTCATTGACTGTAGCTGCCACCTCCTCCCCTCGCTGTGTTGTGTGGTGGTGCTGTGGCTGTGTCGTGCCGTGGCTGTGTCCCCCCGTGTCCCACCATCTCTGGTGCCGCGTGAGCCCCCTGGCCTGCGTGGGGTTTCCCGTGCCACCATGGGCTGCTGCTGGTCCGGGAAGGAATGCATAGCCAGTGATTTCCAGCAGACCCCTTAGATCTGGCAAAGGCTAAAGTTCATTAAACCAAAATAAATGTCACCTTTTTTTGTGGAGTGAATTATCCTACTGGAGTGTGATCATTGTGGTTTTAACCTGGGACCTGCAGCAAAAGATTATAGAGCAACCCCTGACCTTTTTGATTCCTGTTTTACTCTTCTATTGTCAGGGGAAATGTCACCGATCAGGTGAAAGTAAAATGTTTAATGGGCCATATCACAGTAATATCTTACGCTGAGTCAAACTGATAAACTCTTGCCAAAAATTCTTAGCATCTGGCACTTCCACAGAAACCACAAACAATGATTGCACATATGGGAGCTCGGGGGCTAGAGGTCATGACAGCAGTTTATTACATGCACCTTACAGTGATCATTTTCCCTAGGAAATTAACCCCTCTCTAATATAAATGCATCAAGTGAGCTCTTCACGGTGCTTCAATCATGTTGTTTTGGCTACGCAAGGAATGATGTTAAGCTGAAGTGGTGACAAGATGCAATTAAGTAAAAGATGATTGATTAGGTTTCAGTCTTTGCTCAATAATGTTTAAAAAGATGTTTGTGAGATCAGAGTGCGTGCAGGTACCAGCTTCCTCACAGGTCCTTCTTGTGCAGCCACCGAATCTGTGTCAGGGGCACATGGAGGTCTCCTGGTGCTCAGAAATGGTCCCCGATGGCGCTGTTGGGCTCTCGGTGTTTTCCCAGCACCTGGTCCCTGCCCGGCCCCACTGTCCTCAGCCCTGCTTCACGCAGCCCTGTGGGTCAAACCCACTGTGAGCAGCTGGGGCTGGCAGTGGAGGTGTTTCACCCTCAGGAGACAGAAGACGATTTTGTTGCTGCAGGTGAAGTGTGGTGGTTGCAGTCACTAAGATTGAAGCTCCATCCTAGGTGTTTTGATCTCTTTTCTTTAAACTCTGTCATCAAAACACCCAGATCACTTGGCTCCGTTGCTGCTAACCGTGCCCAGGGCATGACTTGCCTTTGTCTCACGATGGCCACCGAGTGGGTTTCTCAGACCCACACCGCGCCAGTCGGATGGACGTTGCCAGGTCCTTTGAAGGGGCCATTGCCGCGCTGTCACAGCGACTCGGCCACCTCATGACATGGGGAAGGTCCTTCATGCTGGCAACCTTCCAGGGATGATGTGAACCCACTTACCTCTTCCTACCATGCTCAGGACTCCCTTCCAGTTTCCTTAAGGACCAGGAGGGTGTCCCACACCACCACCCCAGGGAACTTGGCTCTTTGATGCTGCTAGGGATGCTGCAGGCTGGGGTTTGCGAGAGCTCCTCTTTGAACTGTGTCAGAATAGTTGTGGTTGTCCCCAAAAGTCACTAGAAATTAACAGCAGAACTCAGGAGGGAGGGAAGGGCTCATAAAGCCTGGAGCTTGGTCACAGCAGGGAAAGGGCAGAGGTGATGAGCACAGCAAAACTGCAGGAGCTGGAGCCATGGTACCCAAGTGCTCGGGGAGGTGATTTACAGAGCCCATGCCCAGATCATGGCTGCCTTCCTGAGAGTGGGGTCCATCTCCAGCCCCCCCTCACCCTGGTGCCATGGGACAGCAACTGACGCACCCACAGCAGCGTGGCCAGGGCTCCAGCGTCGGTGCTCAGCAGCTATGGGGTGTTTGGGTGCTTCGGTACCCCTTGGCAGGTACCTGAAGTCTTTGGGCTTTGGTGGGATTTAAGCATGGTCTCGCTCATGCGAGGCCAATCTGAATGAGCTGACAAATGTGTGCTCCCTCACAGGCACAGCCCGGGTCCCCGCAGCTCTGCTCAGCAGTGACTGTGAAGGGACTGCCAGACACTTTGCATTGGGAACTCTGTTTTTAAGTGAACACCCTATTTTTTAGCTGTGTATGGCTGTATTACTTGTATATTTATATATTCTGTATTTATGTTATCAAAATGTAGTATTTTGTAGCTGTCTGTTACAATTTAACTTGTAAAAAATATGACTATGCTCACTCATACTTAGCCAGCTGCCTTTCACTGTAGGTTCTCTGCTCCTTTCCCTCTGTGTTGGTAACAAACCATAATGTATGTAGATCGGATTTTTTTTTTAATTTAATTACTTCTCATTGTTAAATTATTTATTAGTGTTTTTAAATTTCATTTCACTGCATTTTTTTTCCTGCCGCCATTGCCTGGCAGCTAAGATACATGAGTTTCTCATACATTATGCTTCTTCCCATATGCACATGTGTGCGTGCACACTCACACACACACACAAACCAGAAAAATTTAAAAAAAGAGAGATTACA